ATGGATATCTGTGGCTGATTCATGTTGGTGTATGGCAGAAACCATCACAATACTGTAATTATCCTCCAATTAAAACAAAAGAAAAACTGTACCTTGTTCATCCTCCAGCCATATCATTTACAACTTATAGTAAAATAAGTTGACACCATACTTATCATAAATATTGCTTCTCAGCAAATTGTATACACTCTAGTGGCAATTTTCAGGAGAATGCCTTACCTTTTATATCGTACTTCATAATTTACAAGTACTCTTTGTTTTCTCAGAAGTTAGATCAACATAGTCCTACTCTTTTGATGAAGTAAAGAACACAAAGTAACTTTTACAGGCATTTTTTTTTACCCTAGAACATCCATCTAGATAAAGAATCTTAACAGTGTTGAACGACCTCTTGCTGGAGTATTCCAACTTGTTCTCAACAAGGCAGCTTTTGGAGTTGGGATTGTGGCTTCTGTCCCTTGTCTCTGGTGGTCTTTCCTTCTCTGTCATGCTTGTTTAGTAAAAGGGAGAATATGAGTGCTGAGTATAAATGCTGCCGGACCCTCAGCAATACAAACTCGCTGGGAACATCACCCACTTCCAAACTTTACCCCATAGGTAGGTTCTGAGCTGATCACTCAAAGACTGGAAAAATATTCTTGGCTTTACTCTTTGAATTAAGGAATTGGGTCCTTCCAGCCTGGAGTCACTCAAATTCTACTTATAAATGGTATTGAGAAAATTCAAATCAGAAAAGCAGACATTTTATAATAAAATAGCAACAGATTTGGTTTAGTAGACTCTTTCACATACTTAACTACTGTGATGAAACATCTATCTTTTGGGGCTCTTGCCTCCAAAATCATTGTCAAAAACTAAAGAAGATATAAAAAGCAACAAGAGAAAAGCAACAAATAACAACCAATGGATCACTGAAGAAAAAAAATAATTCATTTGTCTCTAGGTAAACAAAAGCATGACAATCCAAAACATATGGGATGCAGCAAAAGCAGGGAAGCTTACAGCAATACAATGTTACCTCAGGGAACAAGAAAAACACTCAAATAATCTAACCTTACACTTATAGCAGCTAGAGAAAGAAAAAACAACCCCAAAGTTAGTAGAAGGAAAGAAATCATAAAGCACAAATAAACAGAAAACAATAGAAAAGATTAGTGAAACTAAAAACTGCTTCCTTGAAAAGATAAACATAATTGATAAACCTTTAGCCAGACTCATCAAGAAAAAAGAGGGCACAAACCTAACATAAGGAATGAAATGGAGAATTTACAACACTCACCACAGAAGTACCGAGGATTATAAGGCAACTATATAAAATGGACAAGTTCTTAGAAAGGTACAATGTCCCAAGATTCAACTAGGAAGAAATACAAAATATGAACAGACCTGTCACAAGTACTGAAACTGTGATTTAAAAACTCCCAACAAATACTAAGGCATAGATTTGTAATCCCTAGGTCTGCTTACAATAATAAGAGCCGCCTATCTTTTAGGGTGCTGGTGGAAGGTCATGGGATCTGAAACCTGACATCAGTATTTCAAAACATGAAGAAAACAATCTCTCATTATTGATAAGTATGTAAGTACATGTAAAAGAAACCCAAAAAACCTCCCAACCAAAAAAGTCCAGGACCAGATGGCTTCACAGGTGAATTCTCTAGAAGAGTTAACACCTATCCTTCTGAAACCCTTCCACAAAATTGCAGAGGAAGGAACACTCCCGAACTCAATTCCATGACACGACCATCAATCATCACCTTGTTACCCAAACCAGATGAAGATACCACAAAAAAAGAAAATTATAGGCCATTATCACTAATAAACATACATAGACACAAAAATCCTCAACAAAATACTGGTAAACCGAACCCAACAGTATATTAAAAGGATCACACACTACGATCAAATGGGATTTATCCCAGGGATGCAAGGGTTCATCCATATCTGAATGATTTGCCAGACCCCTCTGATCCCTTGAGATTCATTATCTATGTAATTTTAGCCTTATCTAAAATTACTGAATCCCTTTCTCTCATTAAAATTTTCTTTCTTAAATAAACTTCCATTGCCTCTAAAGCACCATTTTACTTGAGTCTTGAAATCACTTATTTGCTTTCTGAATATCTTCTGGCTGTTTGCAGTAAGATAAAGAACAATCTAAATAGCTTAGAGAGACATAAACCTGGTTTGTCTGTTTGAATGACAGTCATTTTACTTTATTTTAAGTTAATATGTCTCTGATTCTCTTGCCTCAAGGACAGAGTAAGTCTAGTTTCCAAAGAAATAAATCTGGCAGTACCTTTTTATTCAGATCAATGAATGTTACTTGCTTTCAAACTACACATTTAGCATGATGAGAAAGATTGAATTTTCTAGGAAACTGTCCAAGTTTGACATACCTTATGCATCAGGACAGATTGCTTTTTGCTTTGCTCTGACACCAGGCCTGTTGCATTCAAATGCATCCAACATTCGTGTGTTAAGTGACCTTGGTTTTATTATAAGGTAACATCTCTGAGCCTCCATTTCCTCATCTGCAAGTGGGGATGATAAGTATGCCTTCATTATTAGGTGCAGCTTGCGAATTGTGTTGCTATTGGTAAAGTAAAAAGCTGGTGTGATGATTCCATTCTTGTCTAAGCTTTGCCTTTATTTTTTATTTTTTTTTTTGATTTTTTTTTCCATTTATTTTTATTAGTTGGAGGCTAATTACTTTACATCATTGCAGTGGTTTTTGTCATACATGAAATGAATTAGCCATGGATTTACATGTATTCCCCATCCCGGTCCCCCCTCCCACCTCCCTCTCCACCAGAACCCTCTGGGTCTTCCCAGTGCACCAGGCCCGAGCACTTGTCTCATGCACCCAACCTGGGCTGGTGATCTGTTTCACCCTAGATAATATACGTGTTTCGATGCTGTTCTCTTGAAACATCCCACCCTCGCCTTCTCCCAGAGTCCACAAGTCTGTTCTATACATCGGAGTCTCTTTTTTAAGCTTTGTCTTTAAAACAGAATCACACTTTTATTTTCAAGGGTTAAAGTTTTTTCTCCCAAAGGAAAAAAAATCACAACTTTGCTGCTTTTTCCCAAGTGTGCCAAGGAAACCACAGAAATTGATTTACACCAGCCAAGCATGAAAAAGACAGAACCATTTTCATGTGCATTATTGATTATCCAAAAGTGACTGGACAAGATTAAAAAGTCATTTTCTATTCCATTTATTCTAAGATTAGCATTATATAATTATTTGAAATCACATATTACTTGTGTTTTGTGGTTAAGATTAAATGGAGGGGAGGGAGATGGTGATCTGAGAGATGGCAAAGAGAGGAGAAATCCTCATCTCTATAGATTAAGAAAGTTACCTACAAAGTAGATACTTGGTAGATCTCTATAAGTAGATCAATAAAAATTTTATTGGGATTTAGTAGTTTAAGTTAATTTTAAGTTAATTTCTAAATTTAAGTTAATTTCTAAAAAATGTACATTTGTGTAAGGATTCGACTGAAAGTTGGAGGAGAGTAGTTGTAAACCAAAAATGTTAATAGTGATTATATCTTTGCAATGTAATTACAGATGATTGGTTTTTCCTTTTCAGATATCTCTGCATTAGTAAATTTTTATATAATCTATATTTTCTGTAATAAAGTTGGCAATACTAAAAGTAACAGTTATACAAAAATAGCATACACTTTTATTGTTTACAAAAAGCTTCATGAGTTTTCAACCTGGATTATTAACTGTTTCACTAATAAAAATTTAATTTCCAGTTTGGGGTATTGTCCTAGAATAAATGCTATACACTTTGGGATTATAGTATCTCTACTCTTGGCTTGTTTTAATGTTGCACCTTGCATATTTTCACCTGCACACCGCCTTTACTAAATCATACCATATTTCTTACAGCATATCAAACTTTTATCTTAGAGTCACAGAATGTTGGAATAATAATGTACCTTATAAGATGACCAAGTTTAGGGGTCATTCTTAGACCCACATAGTACTTTAAAAGCCTTTATGACTAATAAAAGATAGTGCTATGAAACAAACAGTTTTCGTGCCCAAAGTCTTACCTTCTGCCAGGTATTTAAATAGTATCAGTAGCCTGCAAACAAATATTGTGAGGAAAAAAAACCAAACAAACATTATTGGCTAAGTTTAAGCATTGGAGGTAGTGTTTGTACCAAGGTTTGGGATACAGATTACTCCAATTTGAAGCAGAGAATTATGATACACAAGTGAAGTGTTAATTGCTCAGTCGTGTCTGACTCTTTGCAACCCCATGGACTGCAGCCCACCAGGCTCCTGTCCATGGGATTTCTCAGGCAAGAATACTAGAGTGGGTAGCCATCCTTTTCTCCAGGGGATCTTCCCAACCCAGAGATCAAACCCACGTCTCCTGCATTGCAGGCAGAGTCTTTATCTGAGCTACCTGGGAAGCCCATGATATACAAGAATTCATTATAATCACCACTACTTATTGAATGTTTCGATGCATTAAATCTGTGTACTCTGGGGCTGGGGGGAAATACCTGGTAGAAAAGAGCCCCAAACAGAGCTATTGGAAAACAAGGCATTCCATCTGAGCACTAAGAGCCTCCAACAGCCTGAAACAGCACAATGATGATGGGGTCACTCATAAGAACCTCATAATTGGACATGGAAAACGGTATTCACCGTCTATATTAAAGGGGAGATTAGGTGGTATATTTGGAAAAGGGAAAATTCCTAATGTTTTTTTCCCTTCCAGTGTGTCATAACTAAAAATACAAAAATCACCAAGTCTTGAAGACCTTGGGTTCTGACTCCCCATTTTAGGGGAGGGTCCAGAGGGAGCACCATGATCTGCAGTTTCTTATCAGGGAAAATACAGGCTGCAGGTCACTGGAACCAACAAATCTTTTCATCATATTAAAAAAACCCAGATATGTGTTCATTTGCTGTTTCCGATCTTTGGATCATGCTGATTTATAGTTAATCTCGTCTTCTATTTTCAGAAGGAATTTTGGAACACGTACACGAAAGCACAACAAGGAGAGAGTAACAGAGGAAGTGACTGGTTTCAGTTTTACCTTACCTTTCCATTAATCTTTGGCCTCTTCATTATCCTCCTTGTCATCTTCCTAATCTGGAGATGCTTCCTAAGAAACAAGACTCGCCGACAGACGGTGACAGAAGGTCATATTCCTTTCCCTCAACACCTCAATATTATCACTACACCTCCCCCACCAGATGAAGTCTTTGATAACAGCGGGTTGTCCCCAGGCTTCCTGGAATACGTGGTTGGGCGCTCAGATTCCGTCTCCACTCGCCTGTCCAACTGCGATCCCCCTCCGACCTATGAGGAAGCCACCGGCCAGATGAACCTACGGAGGAGTGAAACAGAACCTCATCTCGATCCGCCTCCGGAGTATGAGGACATCATCAACTCCAACTCAGCCAGTGCCATTCCTATGGTGCCTGTGGTCACCACCATCAAATGAAACTGCAAACTTCTTTTTACTATAATCGTTTTTAAAATACTAATGAGAGACCTTTCTAGCACTTTACCACTACACACGTCATGTGCATCTGACTTATTGGACTCTGACAGCATACCACTTCATATTCTCCGATTTGATTTTCATTAGTTTTGTTTCCCACTCTAAACTCTATCCATGCTCATTTTTGCTAATGGAAATATGTGACGAGGGAAAAATACTAGTGGAGGTCTTCCTAGGAGATGTACATCAGTGTGTGCGCATGTATGTTTATGTATATATGTACATGCACATATACGTGTGTGTACATCAGCCCAGGATATGGGCACCTGTCTTAAAAAGTGATTAACATCTATCTAAGTCCCTGTAAGAGAACATTACTCACCAAAATTGGGGGTTGGGGGGAAGGCACCAACACTGTGTAACAGCAACATGCTGTTGAATTTTGAAAATAAGATGAACTTAGCCTGCTTTTAAATTTTTACGGGCTTTTGTTAACCTTCTTTAACTTTCTTAAAAGGGAAAAAAAGTGCATATAGTCAGTCTTGACTTGAGGAACATCTCAGAAGGTGACAGAGAGAGAAGGAAGGCATAATAATTGATGCCTTGTTCCTAGTGGATAGCAAGAAAATCATTGGTCCTTCATGGCTTTTGGCTGCTTTCACAGGAGAGATTTTGGTGCTGTAATTGAGTGCCTCCCCCACAAAAATTAAACAGTGTTCACTTAGTGTCCTTGAAAGTCACATGCTATTTGTATTAACATCTTGGTGGAGTGGATTTCCTGGCAAAAGAATCATTTCTCAAGTAGATATTCAAATCAATGACAGAACGGATGCAGACTTCTCCTTGGCTCATTGGCAACACTTTTCTCCATGTTACACTGCCTTTTACTCTAGTCGCTCTCCTACCACCCCCAGAATCTTCTAGCAAGAGGAAATTTAGTTAAAACCCTGGGAATTATTTTCTTAATGTTTTTGTATAGAATGAAGCCTTTGTCTCAAGATGATTACCAGGCAATTTTCCCTTAAATTAAGAACTGTGATTTCTGCATCATTCTCCAGTTGGCGGAGGAAGACTGCAAAGCCTGTGTTGTGCCAGGCGCACAATAAATCTAGTTATAGCTGCAAACATATCTCATGGTTGCTATTTCATTTTGTATTTTCAGATTTTTTTTTAACTGCAGAATTTTTACTGAAAATCCTTGGAGCAGGGGGAACAGGCTGTGAATGAACTGCCAATATAAACTGGCTAGGAAAGAAGAAAAAATCCACCAGTTATACATGCACTGATGGAAAATGCATTCTATTGGTCAGATTTCTGTGCCACTCCCGCGATTCCTTAGTGTTGGATAAAATGGTTGATCAGACAGAAGGCAAGTAGGTTTTGGAAGCGTCATGTCCTGCGGCCTCCATATCCATCCCCACGCAGACTCCCCTAAACCCTGAGGAGGAGGACCGCTTGGGAGGACCTTAAACTAGGAGTCAGATGACCTGAATTCAGATCCCACTCTGCCATATCCTTGCCAGGCTACTTTGGGAAAGACTCATATCTGACCCTCAAGCTCCTTACTTACCTCTGAAATGGCAGTAGTATCATTCGCCCGGCCTTTCTCCTGGGGCTTTAAAAGGATGCAATGAGATGGTGTGTGTGAAAGTCATTTGTAAGACGTGAAGAGCCCTTTAGGTGTAAGGTCACGGCATTGTTCCCGTTGCTCTCATGGGGGAAGAATTTTGTTTCCCTAAAACGTACCTGAGTTTTCACAGAGTGAGAAATCGAGTGGGCCGCTCCATTAGTGGCTCATAGGTTCCTAATCTGAGTGTGTGAGCTTCAGTCCAGCACCTCTCATCCTTTGGTCTGTGCCAGTGCTGGGCCCACTTACTGACAACTGTCCGCTCAGCGCAAACAGGAGTCAGCAGATGTTGGAAAGGGAACTACGCTGACTGTGTTTAGCTTTTACGGCTTTCAAGGACTAAAAATTCAGAAATCTTGAACCTGGTCTCAGCAGAAATGACAGTATTGTTTTGAATTTGGCCCTGAGTACACGGTAATCTCTGGCTTCTACTTAAAGCTGAGAATGGGAGTGTTTGAGCCAGTAATGTATTTTGGTTTAAAGAAAAATTAAGGCTCCTTTTGTGTGGACTTTTTCTTTTGTCATTAATATCAGGCCTTAGATTAAACCAGCAGTTCTCAACAAATGGCCAATGAGCCCCCCTGTGAGTCCTTGAGAACATTCAAATTTGAGGGGGATCTGTGAGACCAACACTGTTTTCATAATAATACCAACACGTTGTCTTTTCACTTTCTCTCTCAAAAAGTTGTTAAAAACGTTAAAGTCATCTTCCCATGATTTTGTTTGTTTTAGAAAATATAGCTATTTTCTTTAAAATGTTCTTTATGTTTAGCATGTAATGGACTTTTTGATTTGGGGACTTTTATATTTTTAAATCAATAAGTACTTAAATTTTTTTTCACTTTTACTTTCTAATATGGCAAATACTGGTGGCTATAAATTTCATAAACAAAAGCTGTTTGGTGTCCAGATCCCCAAGAAATGTTAAGAACATAAAGGGGTCTGGAGACCAAAAGTTTGAAAATTACAGGATTAGACAAAGGAGCAGGATGTTCTATTACTAACTATGCATACTTGCCATTTAATTTTACATTCTAAACTCCTGATAGTGAATTTAACGCTGCCTCTTAGAGATACCTGAATTTAAGTATAAGAATGAATGTTGATCCTTGAAGCAAAAGCCAAATAATAACACTGATCAATGGCTACAGCGTTTTAGACCGTTGTCAGAGAACACACTATTCCACACTGCTAACTGACATCAGCCACAGGTCTCATGGCCTCATTCAGGTGATAATGACAGGCTAAGCAAATGTCTAAGACAAAATACTTTAAGAAACGGTCTCTTAGGTTAGCTTTGTTTGATCTTGGTTTGGGTTTGACCTTTTTAGAAACCCTTTTGCTATCCTATCTGGTTTTGTACACTGAGTTTCTTAACATTTGTTATAATTAAAGGGGCTTGTCTGGAATAGTGTCTATTTTTATGCTTTAGCCTTTCTTACCTGACTGATATTACATTCACCTTTGATCATTTTTAATAAATGTTTATTTTTACAGATTTAGTACCTTTCTTAAGAAGTAACTACATTGAATCAACCAGTGTATACTTAAATGAAAGAATGGGCTACCTGGTCTTGTAGTGGATGGGTTTCCAGACGTCCACCTGCAGTGCTTGTGTCTGGAATCCTAGAAGTGGCACTTTTCTGCCTTCCTGCTTTGATTGTCACAATGAATTGTATCTGTTTAAATTAAATGATTTCTCTTTTTCCTGTGGACCAGTACAAATACAGATGCTGTGTTTGATTCACTGTTAATGATGACTTCAAGATTGATGATCTGATAGAAGAATTGTGGAGGGAGCTTTACCTTGGTTTTGATGATCTGATAGAATAACTGTGGAGGGAGCTTTACCTTGGTTCTGTGTAAATAGCATGTATTTGATAATATTTCACATTTTTAAACAGCTGGTTTACATTAAATTATGGTATTTAACTATTTTATGTTCATTCCAGGTAAGGTTTTTCTTATGTTTCTGTGTTTTGGGTATGCTAAATAAAGCTGTTTTTAAACTCTAAAGATTTCTTCTGCCATTTGTTAATAATTAGATTATGGTGAGATGATAAACATGCTGTATAAGCTCTTATTGTGATCTTTTTAACATGGTAAAATTATTACACTTCTTTTTTGCCTAGGAACTTAGGGAACACTACTTAGTAATCAAAAATTACCTGCTGAAAACTTCAGGGTGTTCGAAGCCTAAGAAAGAATGATCTTTACTACTTGTGAATGATGTTGGAATGATACAAAATGGAAACACTTGCTCCAAAGGGGTAGACTCAGTTCCCTGCTATGGTGGAGTCTGTCAACTACTCGGAACAGTGTTGTCTACAGATGCAAAAGACCCGTGTTTTTCCTCAGCAGAATAGCTTGCATTTGACATGAAACACTGAGAAAGGAAAGCAAAGGATGGAAACATATATGACCACAGGACATCTCCCTAAGTACAGTTACCTCCAAGATGAGAAGCTGATATGATGTGTCATTACCTAAGCAGGTAAATATGACTTGATCTTTACGGTATACAAAATTAAAACAATTTACTTATATCCAAGGAAAAATTTTAAGTATAAATTGTAAGCCTAAAATATACATTTTATAAGTGTTAAGTTTAGGTACTTTTAAAAACATCGGTTTCTAAAAATTTTATAACATACATCTTAACACATCCATGAAACCTAAAACCCAGATCAAGATATTTCTAGTACGCCCCAGAAGGCTCCCTCTTACCCTACCCCCTCCTTAAAGAGAACACTATTCTCACATCAGTCATAACAGATCAGTTTTTAAAATTTCACACTTGGCTGTAGCCATATGGACTCATCCCTCTTCCTTTTCAAAGTATTTCCAAAAAGTTCAGGCTATAAATTCCAGAGCTGCTCTTCTATCTTCTGGCCCTCCTTGGAATCACCTACTCATTCTAAGCCTTTTCTACATACCTAAAGCTCTTTGAGGCCCAAAATTCTGTTTAATCCCTTTCCCTCCCTTCCACAAGTATGTGGTTGTGGTCTAGTCGCTCAGTCGTCTCTGATTCTTGCAACCCCACGGACTGTAGCCCACCAGACTCCTCTGTCAATAGGATTTCCCAGGCAAGAATACTGGAGTGGGTTGCTACCTAAAAGTGAGACCTTTCTAATACTATATATTGACAAAAACCTTAGTACCTTTCTGGCTGGTCTCTTGATTGTCTTTGTCTTGTAATTCTTATCACATGCCATTTCCTTAAACTTTGTATGACGACATTTGTTCTCAGTAATTTTATTTATTTTGTCTACTGCTTTTTTTTTTAGATCAAAACCTGCTATAATCTGGTCCCACAGGCTTATCTAACCTTATTTTCTTAGTAACTCAGATGATAGATACTTACAAAGTACCT